TGTCTTGAATCTGTGCAGGGTACAATGAAATCTCAAGACTATCAAGGCATTCTGGAGCGAAATGTGCTGCCCAGTGTCAGAAAGCTTGGTCTCAGTCGCAGGTCATGGGTCCTGCATCAGGATAATGACCCAAAACACACAGCTAAAAACACCCAAGAATGGCTAAGAAGAAAACATTGGACTGTTCTGAAGTGGCCTTCTATGAGCCCTGATCTAAATCCTATTGAACATCTGTGGAAAGAGCTGAAACATGCAGTCTGGAGAAGACATCCTTCAAACCTGAGACAGATGGAGCAGTTTGCGCATGAGGAGTGGGCCAAAATACCTGTCGACAGGTGCAGGAGTCTCATTGGGAGTTACAGAAATTGCTTGATTGCAGTGATTGCCTCAAAAGGTTGTGCAACAAAATATTAAGTTAAGGGTACCTTCATTTTTGTCTAGGCCAGTTTCATTAGTTTTTTTTAATGCTCCTGTTGAACCACAATTCAAAAGCAATGACTGTCATTAATTTTCAGTAAATTTTTATTTATTATTACTTTTGTCAGTTTCATGTTATTTCAGTGACCATTGTGAGTTTCTCCTTGTTTACCTGAAGGGTACCAACAATTTTGTCCACGTCTGTGTGTGTATAGTCACGTCTCCAACAGCGCTGTGGGTGAAATCATGTCACAGTATGTGACAGATCTACATTTTAAGTAGTTCTCTTGACAGTCACAAGTTTTTTTCCCATTATAAAACCATTTTTTAAACCGCTGACAAAAAATGTGCTTGCTTCATTTTTGACCTATTTTTGTATGGGACTGTATTGGACAGGTGATGAGCAGTGCCTGGTTTTCTCCACACATACCACTTAGAATTAAGGCCAAAAAGTTCTATCTTGGTCTCATCAGACCAGAGAATCTTATTTCTCACCATCTTGGAGTCCTTCAGGTGTTTTTTAGCAAACTCCATGTGGACTTTCGTGTGTCTTGCACTGAGGAGAGGCTTCCGTCGGGCCACTCTATTTTTAAGTGTCACCCCATGTTTCTCCAAATGACTGAAATTCTGCTGAGATAGTCTTAATAATCTTTATTTGTAAAGCACGTTTCAAGACAAAGTTAAAACGTGCTTTACATGTGAAGAACATCCCACAAAAGATCTGTAAATATTAAAATAATGAAATCAAGCAACATGGAATATATAACAGAATAATGAAAGAGGAGACGGTCAATAAAACATACTGAAAATGAAAAATTTTTTTTTTTTTTTTTTTTAAAGACTGGCTTTAAGAAGTCTCAGGTCATCAGGCAAAGTGTTGATAAAAGAATAAGTGAGTGAACAACAACTGAGGTTAGGGTTACCTCCTGACAACTCAGCTTCTGTGTATAACCGTCATGATCTTTTCAGAGGAGGGGACTTACTAAAAGGTGTTCATTCATGGAAGCCAAGACCTGCAGCAAATCTGTTGACCTTTAGGCAGCTACCTCCTGCTCCTCCTCCTCCTCTAAAACCAGCAGAAACAAACCATTACACTTTCAAAGTTCACCTGCAAAACGTGAAACAACATAGTCGCATGATTAAATGAATTTAGATACATATACATGTGATTTTTACACACACACCTCTCTCTCTCTCTATAGATAGATAGATAATGGTAAGAAGAAGGAAGGTGATAAAGACAGACAAGCTAGAACTACTCCAGACTATAAGCCGTGCCCACTAACTGTAAGACGAAAAACATTTTGTACATAGCCGCAGGTGTCCACGTTGTAACATGACATACGTATTTCGACAGCCAGATCGATCGCCTGTAACTTGAAGCGGCATCATATGCATTTCATCGTGTGTTGTCCATGATGGTGTGTGTGCATGAAGCAACAAAAGTAGCGGCTTATAGTCCAGAAAGTACGGTACCTCCCAAAAAAATTGACTTGAAGCTAAAAACACACTAGGTCACAGCTACGTGTGTAAAGTGCGAGTGATATGGGAGCTTACATGTGGGCAGTGTAAACAGCTGGTTTAACATTGAGCTTATGGGTTGCCTGAAACGCTTGTAGTGCAGACACGGCTATGGCCTTTAGAGCTGTCTGAAAACAGACGGGCCTCACACGTGTCCTGAGGAAGAAACCTGTCACCCAGTGCAACATAAAAAGTTTTGGTAAACAGTGTTGATTGGTGTCGATGGCAGCTCTGTAGCTTCATGTTTTTATTGTTGAACACACTGACCTTGGTGTCTCCTCTCTCCTCTGTAGAAGCTGGAGGATGACGCTCTGCGGAGATCTCCCAGGAGCCGGAAGGCCAGAAGGGACTGATATCTCTGAATCCTTGACACCTCTCCCCCTCCCCTTTCTCCTCCTCTTCCTCTCCTCCTCTGCTCTAAGGCGATGAAGCCTAAATGGATCCAGTGGAAACAGCAATGCTGACAGGAAACTAATGAAGATAAAGTTGCTGATGATGATGATTCCAGTATGAACAGCACTGAGTTAGTGTGATTAAAGGATTTTTGTTTTTGAAAGAGATTAGCTGAAACTTCCTGCATCATTCCTTAACAATACCTGAGCAGACGTAACTCCACAGGACCATCTTGTTGCGTCATGTCTACTGTACCGCTGCCCACTCACTTCACAGCACCAACCTGAAGTAGAAATTTCACCAGTTAGCCTGCAGTCTGAGGAAGTTGACCATTGTCTTGCATGAGCTACTGATAGTCTCTTAGTTAATCTACCAGCAGCCAGATTATTATCATCTGACAGGGTTATCCTGTAAATGTCTGGAAATTAACCTCCCATAAGTCTAAATATCTTAACATGTAGTATAATTAGTGCACCAACAGCCAGATGATGATAAACAGCAGCCAGGATAAACTTACAAATAGTCAATAAGCATATAAATAAACGGGGCTAATTGCTATTAACTGACTGCTAATTGGCCTAATCATTAAGATATAAGCAGTTGGATTCATCTTACTAGGTTGATTCCCTGACTATTTGTGACAGTCTTGTCAAACAGGCTGCTAACTAGTCTAATTAGTCTTCTGGCAGCCAGAAAACGTGGCAGTCACTAACTAGCCAACAATTTGAAGTCATGGTCTTCCTGCTCAGGCTACCAACAGTCTGCTCAATTATCCCGCTGTCAGGCTGCTAATTAGGCTAATGGCAGTCAGAATTACCCAACAATCAGTCAGAGAAAGTCTTCCAAATTAGCCAACCAACGGGCTGCTCGTTAGCCCTTAAACAGCATGGTTAATGTACCAACTGCTGTCTAGTTTTCTAGGTTGGGCCAAGATGTCTGGAAATTAGCCTGCCAGCAGTCACTTGCTAATTGGCACGAGAGCTGCATGAAAACCTGGCTGTTTGTACCACAATTTAAAGTAAGCCAACATGATCCCACAGTGAGCTAATCAACCTACCAAACAAGCTGCTAACAAGCCCACAAGCAACGTGAGTAACTCACTAACAACTAGCTACTAGGAGTTAGCCATCGGGCTTTCTAGTTGTAAAACATTAGCCTGCTAGCAGGTTGAAGTAACCCAGAGCTTAGTGATCTGCCACAGCAGGTACCATGCTGATATTTAAACTGATTAACTGGGAACACTCCAGCTGACACAATGTTTTTGTCTTTTTTTTTTCCCCCTCATGAAAGTGTTTGTTCTGCAGCAGTTAGCAACATGTTAGCTCCACAAGAGAAACAGCTCAGCGATTCTACTGTGTTCTGCTGTCCTGATGGCAGTGAGGAAGGTCATAGTGGAAAAAGCTGGGTCCGACTGTAAATGTGGTTTGCTCATTTAGACTCAGGCTGTGTTCTTTGTAATGTTCTGTGTGGGATAAACTTGTCAGAGTTGAGGGTCAGATATGTGTTGCTTATCAATGGATCATGTCCTACTGGTTCTCACTCGCCACACACAGCCATTTTCAACCATAGCTGTCCAAGAGACCATGTGGTGGTAACCAGCAGCAGCAGATGAGCTCCTGAAACCAAGGACCTTTTGGTTCCATTCAGTTTGTTCAGATTTCTAGCATTCTGGAGATACAACCAGGTCCAACAACATCTCCTTTATCTGGGCAGGTTGGTTTCACTGTCTGGTTAAAATAAGGTTGGCGTGATCAGAGCTTTTTAACCAACTCCATGTTTAATGGGGGAAATTCTCTGTTTCCTTTACCTTCAGTTTCATATCAGCACATGGTGCAAATTGGGTGAATGTAGTTAAGTAATACAGTGGAGAATTAGAGGCAGCCTTGAGGCAACATTTTGACCTCGAGCGTCTTTGTCAGGTAAAAATGTAGTTTGACGAAGACCTTGACAGTCGAAACACTGCACACAACCTCTTTTCTTTTGTTTGCTGCTTTTGTCCTGCAGCTTTCTGGTATTATCAGGACTGTTAGAGCTTCAGTAAGTAAAACGAGCTGCTGTCGTCTCTGGACAGAAAATCTGTCACGTCTGCAGGTAGGCAAACTCACTGTTTCGTTGACCCCCGTATGAAAAGAAAAAGTCATGAAAGGGGGAACAGCTCAGGTGTTGAACCTCACACCTGTCCACCTGCTGCACTGCAAAGCTCCAGCAAACAAATCCATGTTGGATATTAGGTCAGGAGACTGAACGTGAAATTCGTTCTTGACCTCAGAAACGTAAAACAAAATATTTGAGCCACGTGCTAGGTTTACCAGTGCTTTCATTCATACTTTGTGGTCTTTGTCAGTAGGTTTTAGTAATACAAACATGTATTATGAAAATCACTATTCGATGCAGCCTTAGTCTGTACAGACTGAATTCTTGTCCCATGCAACCACAACTATTTAGGATTATAACTTTTTTTTTCTGTGGCTGTCTGCTGCTGCTGCTCTCTGGTGGATTCCTGTTGGGTCTCCGCCAGTCACATGACCTCAGTGTCAGCTGAGACCTACAGTAGCTACAGTCCCACCTAAAAACTCAGATTAGTCCAGGAAGCTAACAGGAAGTGGATCTGTTTGTCTCAGCCCACCTGTATGCATTTATAATGTGTGTATGAACATGGACACGCACAGGTGGAGGCCGCTGTGTAAACTACAGCTCCAACCGTTATTCTGTTACTCCATCAACTGCTAGAATTAACCCACAGCATCTTTGATAATCAAATAATCATTGAAGTGTTTCCAGCTTCCTAAATGTTGGTGGTTTGTTTTTATTTGATCACTCTTTACCGAACAACACTGTCGACCTTCTACACAGGTCTCTTTTTTTGACCTTCTACAGCCCAAAAGATTAATCAATAAACTAACTGATAACAGAAATGTTAGATGTGTGAAACGCCATTCAAAACAGTTCATGAATGACAATCTAGTTCAACCTGGCTGTAATAATATAAAATGTCCTTATAGGAGAAGCTGCATAGTTTACAAATGCTGCACATTGATAAGCGGTCTCCTTTCAGTACTACAGTATAGTGTTGTAGATCATTTACTACAGGTTCATATTGGGCCCATAGGTCCTAAATTGGGTTGCTTAGTGTCACAGATTTGTGACCTCCTGACCTCTCATTGCCATCAGGACTAAACATCCAGGTTTCTCCATTAAATCCTCAGAGAAGATGCCAACTTGGGTTCAGGATCCCAAGTTGTTTGTTTTTGTTACATTATGAAATCATCAAACAATTGTCCTGGAAAACGTCCACGAAGAGGCGCTGACCTTCAGTGTGGCTGAGTTTCCTAAATCTGAAGGTGAGGGCAAGAAATTCAGCCACATCACTCTGGTCTTGTGTCCCTGAGGCGGCTGTTGTCATTGTTGAGTTTTCTAGACACTAAATGTCTTCCTGTCAGAGGTCCAGTCAGGATGTGCATGCTGAATGTTGAACTGATGAGGTTTAGGAGTCTGGCGGCTTTCTGATCACCAGTGAGTTCAGATCTGGGGCCTTGGTATAACCTCCCTCTCCTCTTAGGGTAAACAAGCTACTCTATCTTTGGCTGTCAATACTGTTGCTTTTAGTCCTTTAGGTTTAAGTGCTGTAAATCCACTGATTTGGGGTTTCAGCAGCAGCAGCAGCAACAACTTTTATTTCAGCTGTACTCTGTCACCTCTTTTGTTTTCTAGTGTTGGATTGTCTTTATTTTGTTCAGCTCATGCCTGGTTGAAGCTGCCTAGCTAACAAACTGTAGACTGAACACTGTATCTGCTGGTGGGACTTTACATGACCCTGTAACTATTGACTTGTTAGTTTTATTGACTTTGTGTTAAACTAAATGTTCAGCCCAGCCTGTTTGGGATGTACATGCAGCGTAGAAAGATGCACCTGCACCACAGGAAGGTCCAGCTTTGAACAGAAATACTGATACGTGTGTGTGTCAACATTTGTTTTGATGAATAAAAAAGCCAAATGGAAACTGAACCAGACTGTTTTCGTGTTTGTGATTGATACATCACATTGATCTGCAGGCAAGTGTGATCATGTTTTAAAATGCTGCAATCAGAGGCCATTTCTCATTCCTTAAGCTCGCACCAGTTTTGACATAAATGTGACTTGGTTCAAATGTACCAACATGCCTAATCCATGGACACATTGCAGGTCTGAAATGATTAGTTTATTAATTTAATAGATGATTGAAAATTGTCAGCAATTGTTACAAATGATTACTTTCATTTTTAAGCAGAAAGGCCAAATATTTTCTGGTACCAGCTTCCCAAATATATTTGCTACTTTCTCCAGGCTTCTATAGTAGTGTAAAGATCATTTTTAATTTGAATATGTTCACTCTCACTTTAGGTAATATGTTGGGCATTTTTCACATTTTATGCACTGAACAATCAATCAGTTATTAAAGAAAATGATTGCCAGGTGTACTGATAATAAAAATGTCTAAAATCTCTAGGTCGTAAAACAAGATTTTGACACAGTTGCTGGAGGATTTTGTGTCAGAGTTGATATTGTAATTGAGTGGTGAACATTTCTAACAGATTTGTGATTAATTAAAATATGTGGAGTCAAAAGATATGAACTAAACCTGAGGCTATTGAGGTGTCTGGGGGTCTGGGGCCACTGGGCACTTGTCCACTTTGCCCATCCAGGTTTAATAAAATTTGATTAGAAACAAGACGTTTCTTAAAACTGCAGAACTTGTCTGAGAATCAGTTTTTGTTTTCTGCAGTATGCAGTCATCCAGTGACATATGTGTGTACATCCAGTAATACATAGCCAACGTATATTGCTACTACTTCATTTAACGAAATGTAAACATTTAGGTAAAAAAAACTGGGCTTAGGTTCAGCCCACAGTTTAAGTCACTGAATTGAGCATAATGCAAAAACGTTCAGAGCTGGTCATATCTATGACGTTTGATGTAATATTATCCAACAAATGTTGTAAAAAAAAAAGGTTTCATTATTCTGACAATAACAATTTTTAATACATTTAATTCGGCTTTTTACTACATTTGGGCGGGTTCTAGATTGTGATTGGTCTTGTTCTTGTCAGTTAAAGTTGGCAACAGTTTCACCTCTCTCTATTGGTTAATTCTATTGTCAATCACCGGTAAGGCGGGAGCAGAGATAGTTTCCAAGATGGCGGCGTAGACATACCTGTCCACTGGAAAACAATAGAAGCAGCACAGAGGGACAGAGTTATCCCGTTCTCACTGACAAATCTTCGCTTTAAAACGGCACATATTCAGATTCGGTCACGGACACGGGGAGGATTATCCGCGTTGGCACCTCGGGAGAGATTCATTCAAACTATGAAGCTTTATTTAAATGTTTCAGGTTAGCTACGTAGCTAGCTTGCCAGCAAGCTAGTCGAGCTATCGTCTCCCAAAACATAACGTTAGCAGTTAACGGCTAACAGCCACAAGGGC